CTGTTAGAAAGGTATGCAAGCGGAGCATGTGGTGCCTCGTGCTGAAGGAAGTCATTGGAACATGCCAGCATTGCGGAACACGGTATACCAACATCCCCTGTGGAGCTGACGTGCTGGCAACAAGTCGACAAAGCTGATGTGGCTTGTAGGCAATTCTGGACTCTGTGACACGAGCATTAAGTAAGCGAAAGTAAGAGGGAGTGAGTAATCCAGTGAACTCCCTAAAATCCCAAGCTGGCATAACGGCAAAAGGAAGCTGAAAAATGACATTGTGACTACAACATATAGAAACGCAAAACCACACTTCGAGAAGCAACACCACAACACTCTCCCAACCAGAATTAGGTAAAAAAAGGCACAATGTAAGACTTCGCTTCCGATTTGGACGTACTGCACAAAGCGAACTCATTGATGGACAATAGTACATAGATGGACGTGGGAACAGTAGATGGTCTCTTACTAGACTGATGCTCGATGAATAGCTCTTGATTCATCTTGAAACTCGAAATCGCCCTTTTCCAAGGGGCGTGTCAGAGAACGGTGATGTTGCAGTGAGTGACGACCACACTCGCGACCCGTAAGTTAAGGAATCGCATTCAAGTGAACCACATTATCACATGGAAGTCGGGTGCATTGCAGAATCCAAGAATGGAAATTTCAGTGTGCAGATCTTTTTTCTTTTCTGCGTCCGCCTTGTCCAAGTTCAACAACAACACTCTATAGTCTTCAAACTTTGACAACAGCGCTCTACAGCAAAATGTTCTTGAAAGCCCAAAGGTCCACTCCACGATAATTGGGAAGGGGAGGTCAGACTAAGAAATAATACTTGCACTCACGACCAATCGTCTCTCCTGTCCTTATGGTGCACTTCCCTTTACCATCACCTATCACCTGTGCTCCCGTTGATCATCGAGTTCCTCGAGCGGGCGCCAGTAACGTCTCCATTCGTCCCTGCAACGTGCAAGAGTTGCCCAATGAACTCTCTCAGCTCGAGGGACACGATGAACTTCATACCGTTCGTTCAGAGCTTTCACGAAGAAGTCTGACCATCGCATAGGCGGTCGTCCAGGCGTTCGCTTGACATCCCGTGGAATCCAGTCGGTGACTGCTCTGGTCCAGCGGTCGTCCTCGAAACGCATAACGTGTCCGGCCCACCTGATCTTCGAAACCTTGCAGATAAGCGCGCGCTCTGATTCTTTCGATGTTGGCGGAGTGCGGAGCTCCGTTCCCTCTCTCACTTGCGTGTAGCGGGAAACTCCGAGCATCGCCCTTTCGATGGCGCGTTGAATAACGCCGACCGCATGCTCATCCTGCTTTCGTAGAGTCCAAGTCTCTGAGGCGTACGTCAAGGCAGGAAGGACCGCGGAATCGAAGAGGTGGGCACGGAGCTTGGTGTTCTTCGTCTTCTTCGCTACTCCCTCGATGTTCTTGAAGGCTCCCCAAGCCGCTCGCTTCCTCCTGCTCAGCTCTGGAGCTAGGTCATTCATCATATTGATTTCACGACCTAGGTACACATAGCTAGAGCATTCAGAGATGGTCGTTCCGTTGAGCGTGAATGGGGCATCAGATACCAATCCGTTTCTCATGAACATCGTCTTCGTTAGATTCAGCCGTAGACCGATTGTTCCACACGCGCAGTCGAATTCAGCCAGCATTCGTTCCGCTTGCTCGATGTTTGGTGCCAAAAACGGATGTCTCAGCCAAAGCGGAGATGTGTAGTTGCCGACCGTCGATCTTCACTCCCATGTCTTCCCATTCCAGTTGACGCATGACGTTCTCGAGAGAGGCGCTGAAGAGCTTGGGCGAGATGGTGTCGCCCTGTCGGGCCCTCTTCACAATCTATATGATCTCCTTTAGATGTGGTAGATCTTGTCGTGAATGCTGTGAGAGCTCAACGAACAAATCCGATGTACTGAGTAGGAATACCCTGGTTGCCCAGGGCTTCGATAACCGCTTCTGTCTCAACGGAGTCGAAGGCCTTCTTCAAGTCGATGAACGTGAGACATAGCGGCATCTTGTACTCTCGCGATACTTCGATGAGCTTCGTTACCGTGTGGATGTGATCGATCGTGCTGAATCCTCTTCGAAACCCTGCTTGCTCGCATGGCTGTCCTTCGTCTAGTGTTTTCCAATCCTGTTAAGGATGACTCGTGTGAAGAGTTTGTAGACACAGACAGCAGCAGATTGGCGATAATTTCATTCGTGAGTCTCCTTCTGTACAGCCATCACAGTCTTGCTGTTTTCACGAGGTGGGTACCTTGCATTCCGACAGGTAGCGCGTGAAGAGTCGAGCCAGAGTTTTGACGAGAACTGGCGGAAGATTCTTCAGATGTTCGGGTCTGATCCTGTCGGGACCGGTGCCGTACGATTCTTCACCGACGAGATGGCGTGTCGGACTTCGGAAGAGAGAACTGCAGGAACGACATATCCATCCTGCTCCAAGCGGTATGGTTGCAGGTGGACGGCTGTCGAAGAGATCCGAGTAGAAAAATAGAAGTCTGGATGACCTTCTCCATTGCCCTTCTGGATGCGGTGATTGTTCCATCCGGACGTCGGAGGGCGGTCATCTTGGTCTTACAGTTGGCGAAGTCGCGGCGGGCGTTGCGTATGCTCCCAGCCTCTGCGCTTCACCAGTACTGCTCTCTTCTCTCCTTGAGGTCTTCTTTTATCGCTCCTCTGCATAGCTTCGCAAGCTCAGACGTCAGCTGGTAATTGCCTGCGGCTCGTGCGGCTCCACGTTGGCGAATCAGCTCGAGAGTTTCCAGAGATAGACGCTTCTTGGTAATCTTGGAACCCTCTGACTTCTTGGCGCAGTCGTGAAGATGTGCACGTTCGTATTCCTCGTCGATGTTGTCGATGACAGAATCCTCCCAGAGCCCAGCGAGAGAAGTGAAGTGATCCCAGTTGATGAAGGTCTTGGGCTTCGCTTCTTGAACTTTGCGGCTCTCTCTCCTCGCATCGAAAAGCGGAATCTTGCGCGAAGGAGGCGATGGTCGGATCCCGTGTAATACTTTAGTACAACACGACAATCGGTCAGGCATAAACTTTGATTCCCAGATGAGTGGCGATCTTCGCTTGTGAATTGTCCACCAGGAGACTCCCAGTCCAGCGTGGAGAGTAGGGCTTCTGGAACTGCGAGTTACCATGGATGGTAATGGGTCGACATGATAAACTCAGACAAGCCCTTTCCACCTGCTCATTCCAACCCGTTCGTGAGTTATCCCATGGAACTTCTTCGCCTTTTCTGGTCCGATCTTAGCCGTTGAAATCACGTACATGACCTGAAGAAGTATGATCTTCCTTGCTTAGAAACTTCTCCAATCCATATAGAACGCTCGGAGTCATCCTCGTGTAGCTTGATGTGCTGCAAGGCGACGAGATGTCAAAGCTGGCAGTTGAACCACATCTCTCTAATCGCAAACGTCCGCATTCGCGTCTCAGACTTTCCGAATCGATTTCATGGCCAAGTGCGTGTTGACGAGGACGCCCACACCGCCAACGCCTCTGCTGTCGCATGTTCCGAGGAACAGTTCTTCTCCAGTCTCGTACACGGCGTGTAGCGGGCGATGCCTCCTCGTCTCGGTCAGTCCGATGACGTCGTACTTGATCTTCCTGGCTTGCAACATCAGATCTTCGATGTGAGCTTCCGATGCAAGCGTCCGTGCGTTGAAAGTACAGATCGTCATCCTAGTCCTGGGCGACTTAAATCTCCGTTGGCCCTGTGATTTTAGCAGCCTCGTCCGAGCGGTCCCAGCCGACGTCGCCCTGTCGGTGGTTCCCTCAGCTTCAGGGGAATGAGGCCCATAGTGTTACTGTTTTCGGCGAGAAGAATTAACCACGCGTAGCTCGCCAGGCTCTGACGTGGCACCCTCCGCATTGGTACGTTTTTGGAACAGTCCAAAACCGTTCACCCCCACGCCACGATGAGGCTGCGGATAGGATTTGTGGGGCCCTTCTTACATAATTTGCCAAAATACGATCGTCCATACCAAACTCCCTCCTGTACGACCCCTCTTTCTTATCCTACTAGCCATCGTCTCGACTTTCCAAACAATTTTGCTGTTCAGCGGGTGAGGATTAGTTTTGGTACGCCGCCAGGGTACATACAGCGAGAAAGATCAGCTATCAAAAAAGTGCCCACCATGGCAAAGTGCAACCCTTCCCAGCGGCTAAATACAACTCTTCCCACCCTCCCTCCCCCCCCCCCCTCTTTGTGTCACATAAAATAGTTACTAGTGGAAGTGCTGTGTTGGCGTCAGATGATGTTTAGGCAGGGTGTCCATGGGCGCTGGCTCGTACCCACTCTGAAAGTTCTTTTTTCAGAGATCCCCTGATATGAATGGAATTTTCGGTTTTCCTTTTTTCCTGTTCTCGACCCCACAACGCAGACCAATTTCGGCCCAAATGCTATCCACCTTTTGCAACTCATAATTTTGTATATCATTGCTGCTTTTTATTACTTATACTTCTATATTTTTCTATATTCTGTTATTCATCACTATGTTGGACCTACCTGCGTTGCGTAATTTTAGGACACGCACCTTTTGAGACTGATCGTCTGCATCATGCGCCAATGGGCAGGTTCGACAAAGAGGAACCACAATATCCTACGCCAGAACCGAAGCGAGATTCCACCACCGTGATAACAGGCTCGTCCAGTTTGCGTACATCTGCTTTTTTTGTTGCTGCCGACCATGAACCGAGAGAATATTGACGGCCCATTCTCAAATCAGCAATCAGGGCACGCCATCGCATTGGGATAGGTTCTCGCAGAATCCCCGACCACCTCCCCCTCCCTTATTCCATCTCTTGATACGACCCCCTTCTCCCCATCCTACCTATCCACTTCCTAGATTTTTCCGACTCCCTTCCACTTTCTCCAGTTTTTTCGGCATTTCCCGTCTCGAAAGTTTTCGGATTTCCCCTGGAATTTTGCTGTCGAGCTGGAGGAGGGGGGGGAGGCGGGGGGAAGGGAGGAAGGAGTATATTGCCCAGGAACTAATTCTATGTTTCACCTATCTGCTAAAGTATTGCTGTAAATCCTGGCCACGGGAAAAGTGTTCCCAACGTCCGAATTCCTCTCAAGATAAAGACGACCCCTCCCTTTTATAGCATCCGTGAAACAAGAGAAAGGGGGAAGGGGAAGAAGCCGAAGCATAAGCTGAGTGAAGTTGCAACATTCTTGCAAGGCCCAGTAGAGACAATTCGTACATTCGCAAAAACAGTTCTGACTATGTTCTCCTCCTTGCGCAGCAGAGATCCGATATAGTGCAAAACACACAGTAAAGCAAACATTGAAGGCTTATTTTTCTTGTTCTAATTAAACGAGGCGACAGCGAGAAAGGACGTGAGCACACAATGCTATCCACTGCGCGGCATTTGCATTTGGCCTTACGCCGTGACAATGAGACGCATGGTCCCCTTCCCACTCATTTTCAACGAGTGACAAGGGTGGTACAGTCATCAAGTTGCATGGGTATACTACGGTGCTGGAGTACATTCAGAAGGCTGCGGGCCCGCTCATCCTATACAATTAAGGCTTTTATGTAATACACTTCAGCCGATAATGGACTGTGAGTTCACTATTAGCTGATGGCAAGACGCCCATTTCGGCAGGTCAGGTTATTCGACGAAGGAGTTCAGACATGTTTTTGGATTTGTATCCTTTTCGAAAAACTTAAAGACAGCGTCCGCGATCAACCAAGGTGCCTGGTGTCCTTTAGAGTACAAGATGGCGGAGCTTGTGATCACAGCGGATATCCCTTTTTCGCGGCTCAAAAGCGCTTGATAAAAGCACGACAGCTCAGTCACGATAAGCTGAAAAAATGATCGAAGAGGAACTTGTTGACTCCGCCGCCTATGAGGGCGGAGTCAACAGGTTCCTCTTCGGTCATTTTTTCATCACCAAGATTCGTTAGCGGTGATAAGTTGCTAATCTTATCGAATATGCCTTGGAGAATGCGTCGCAACGTGGCGTTCATATTCGCAGAGCTCGCCCAAAGTTGCACTAACTCGTCCATTTTCAGTGCCGTACATGGAACTTTTTTGGAGCATTTTCAACAAGTTCTTTTGCCCTTTTTTCTTCTTTAGCATTGTACTTACAACATGACCTGATGCTCTAAGCTCCTCATCCTGTGAAAGGCAATGGCGAGCGCTGACTTTGAGTAAAGTTAGATAGACTTTTCTAGTAGAGCTGAGGGAGCTTACGGCATTGGGATTGACTGTATATGTTCAGCCAGCATTGTCAAACTTTAACAAGTGCTGCATGGTCATGTGAGTATTTTTTGGAGCTCATGCCGCTACCGTTTCAGTTATACAAGGAGCTGCCACGACACCAACGATTCCCCTTCCTCAGACGTTATTCCCAGAAATAAGTGAGTTTATTCTGGTCTTATTTTTGTGTTATTCGGAACTTCGCCGTTAATCAATCCCTTTGTGGGATGCGGCACGCATTCTACTTCCATTCAGAATCGTAGTGGCTTATTGAATGCGATGTGGCCTATACAATGACTTGCGGGGCCAGCCGATGTACAAGTCAGTGTACTTATCCTCCCGGACGAGTCTGGTACAATTTAGCGTCCCCGGAGGGTGAAGAGCTTGGTTGAGCCCCTTATACCGCACCATATACGCTTTTACGAAGTCTTTGAGCTTCTGGTGGAACCCGCGGGTTTTCTTTTTGCACATTCTAAGCATGGGGGAGGGGCTTTTTTGCTGGTTCCCACTGATCTCTGCCGATCCATCTGGTGCCGACCTGTGAAGTTCTGCGGAGCCATTCAGTAGCAGGAGCTTCGTTTACACGCGAAAAGAGTCCACACGTCTCAAAAAGGCGTAATTCAAGACAGACCAGCAACAGAAACTAGCGAATGTGCAAAATGCCCCTTCCTGGACGAACGCCGCGACCAGTCAAGAAACCCTTATCAACATTGATAAGTTTCCAGCACTTTCGCAGTGGCTTTTCAAATCCGCGGCGGTAGCATTTGGCTCCTTTCATGTCATAGAAGTGTACCAAACTTTCTTGCGCCTTCGTGAAAAAGTTCACGAGCAGAAATGGATAACGAAGCAACGAGCAAAGTCGCTATAGGGACGATTTCTTGAATCTAATCTCATTAAATAAAACTACAGCTGAACAGCAAATTAAGGCGTTATGGTCGTGAAAATAGACCAGCAGAAAATCCTTCGACAACTCAAAGTCCGCCACCATTCGCCATCCTACTATATATAATCCGCTAAGTGTGTGTGTGTGTGTGTGTGTGTGTGTGTGTGTGTGTGTGTGTGTGTGTGTGTGTGTGTGTGTGTGTGTGTGTGTGTGTGTGTGTGTGTGTGTGTGTGTGTGTGTGTGTGTGTGTGTGACATTGATTTCAAGAAGCGATGTAGGCGGTGTGACGGGAACACAATTGGTGGGTGACAGGAAGTGATATCAGCAGTTGATAAGATCCGATAAGAGGCGTTAGAAGGGGAGGTCACCATATTCATAACGCGGGTGACAGCATCAGCTAGCTCTTGATTCCAAGATATGATATAGGGTATGGGCCAAGAACATTATTGGTGGGTGACAAGAACTGTAAGCTGCTGATAAGATTCGATAAGGGGCTTCAGAAGGGGAAGGTTACCATATTCATAACGCGGGTGACAGCATCAGCGAAGCATTCATGTCAGCAAGTGATAGAGATGAGAACAGAGATGGTGAGATGGGAACATCAACGGTGGGTGATAGAAGCGATAACTACTGATAGGGGCTGATAAAGGAAGTTGCAGTCGTCGTCGCTGTTCAAGGTGGTTCACGCTACCAAATCATAGAGATTTAGTGATGAGGACATTGATGACGGGTGACAGGTAATCTTATCAATCGATAAAACAGATAAGATACCATCTGCGCGACATTTTTATCACTTCCTACCGCTTTAATGCCGAGTATTAGAGGCTCAGTGTGTAAGCTCATTCCTTCGATGTCGATGTCACGTCACGAATCAAGGTCGTCCATTGAAGTGTTTGCTTTTAGATGCATGCAATGGTGTCGAGCGGGCACTTATGCCTCTTACGGGTGTTGAGGACTCATCCGGACTAATTGAACTTTACCAATTCTGATGTCGCAACTGCGGTTCTTAATGGTGCAGCCTTCTCACCGTTGAAAGTCTGTAGTAAGCAAGGGGGACCAGATGTTGGTAGATAATGACTGATGTTGAGCTTTTTTCAACTCATTTTCCCACATTTTAACAAAAAATAACTGCCACCATTTTGCTTATTTAGTGCACTCTACCTTGCCCAAGGGAGAGTGCCTGGCGAAGCCAGGTCGGCCCGGCGAAGCTGGGCCTCGAATGAGAAGGAGGAGCACCCGGCGGCAGCCGGGTGATCCGACTGGTCATTAGGGGCTCGCATCTAGACGACAAGATCATGCCAACTGCCCTGAGTAAACTTCCTTTTCGTTCCCAGTTTGTGCGCGCCCAGTTAGCTCCACCTCCAACAACTCACTCCACCTCTCATCCGCACAGCTGATTCTCCTATAAGAACTCTACGACCGTACAAGTGACGATTTTCATGCTTTTTCGTCCTGCAGCTTCGTTTTTCACTGAAAGGCGGGCCTTGAAGGCGGAGTCAAAAGGAGGCGTCACTGAACCCATACTACGCTGTAGCGCACCTCCCTTACAATTTTTTCCGCAAAACGAGTTGTTCTTCGCGGACCACACTATCGTATCCTGCCGACGCCATATTTTCAGCTTCTATACCTGATCGCGGAGCGTGCCTTTAATAACCATTACCTCCTTTATTCGAAAGACCATTCCAAATATTGAAGTGACGGTGAGGAAGCGATTATTCAAGCTACATGCATATCGTTTCAGCTACCACTCCGTTACCAGCTTTTCGCCCGTACATCGGCCCGGAGCAGATCACAGGCAGTCATATGGCTCGAGAAGTGTACAACATCAGACATCATGGGAAACCGCGCTTTGTAAAAATAGATCTCCTCAATGAATAGTACCGTATTATTGTATTGATAAAAATAAGCTAAGCTTTTTGAGCCTTACACATTCACAACTTCTCTCTCAATTTACGAAAACGTCATCTGTTCCATCAAAAGTAATAACCCAAACGTGGCACAACGATTCCCAGTGTGGGGAAAAAGAGGTATAAGCAAAAAAGCTTTGGTCAATGGAGGTTCCCTGTGGTTTCAACCTTCACATACAGTCTTGTGAGCTACGGATGTTGGGGCGTGTCATGCATCTGGGTCTGATGTGGCGCTAACCTGTTCTCCATCAGTTGTTGAAGCGGGCAAGCGACAACAGTTGGTGAAAACGGGCTAACGCCGTACAAAACCCAACCCCTCCCCTGACACGGCCCTGCTTCCGCAGTGACCAGTGTAAGACTGTAGATATCATAAAGTTTCCAGCAATGCAGTTTGGAATTTTTCTCTGATGTAGGCAGAAATAAGGGAATCATTTCATAGTTTCAAATGAAAATCATAGAATATCTATGTGCCTATCTTCGGTAAAGTGCTGTTTCATCAACATTCATTCAGCATTCCGATTTCATTAAAATACGGGGCTCAAAAAGCGGCCATGGGCGAGTCATCGTTTCTGTTTTTCACTCCAATCCAGTGTGTGCGCCAGGCTTGAAGTGAGTGCGAAGCATAGTTACGTGATGTTGGCAAGCGAGACATGGGACAAGACACGAATTCGGATTTTAGCGAATTTGGAGCATTCACATACGTATATTCCTATGGGTTACTCGTGCGACATTTCAACTGCAGACAGCGGTCATCTTGCTCAGTGCTGTACAGAAATAAGAACACAATTATAGCAGAATGGAAATATCTCACTCAAAGCAGCCACCGCCGCGTTTAGCCGAGGTATTGGGCCACGGCTACCACATGTCAGGGATTTCGAGTGTACATACAGTCGTCATCCGGTGACTTGATTAGGGCGGCAAGGGACGCGACGCGGCTGCGGTGTGTTGCGAGCGCGGCGATCAGCTGTTTCCAGCCTATTTTAGCCATTTTCTCCCTAGTTTTGGCTGCTTTTCTCACGATTATTTTCTATTTTTCCAAGGTTAGTTGTTTTATTGTCTTTATGAGATATAATAGGACTTGGAGTGCTTCTTTTTTTTGTAATAGAGTGTTTTTGCGATTTTTTTCAGGTATTTGTTCAATTGTCTGCTTAACTGTTTAATTGTACGCAAAAATCAGAGGAATCTCAATCATAATTTACCTTGTGGAGACAAGGAAACAACTAATCGTAAGAATAGCAGCCAAAACAGCGTAA